TATATAGACTTATAATCAAATTACTTACTTGTAAACACTTTATGTCATTATGTTACTTAACAATATATTTTTCCAGAATCATTATCGGTACTTGGAGGTGAAGTAGACGCAGCAAATATCACTCAATTAACACCCGGAACCATATATAATTTCACGGTAGCAGCACTTCACATCGACCAGGAATTGGCGCGAGTTGGACCGATACAGCTACAGACAGAACCGGGTAAAATCAATTAAAATAGAGTTTGGAGAGACATGCCTATTAAGCTTAAATACAAACTATACAAATATATATTTTAATTGCTTAATTTCCATATGAGCGTAATTGATTAGCTTTAATTGGAAAAATTACAAAAAAAAAGTGTTTTTTCCCTTACCAATAACAGACGCATCTGATTCTTTCTATATTCCTTGCATCCTGCTTTTTATTAAGAAAATAATTAAAATTTTCTTAGTAAAAAGTTCATTGCTTCACATTGTATTTGATTGTTAATGTAATTCGATGGATCTTACCTCCCCTTTGATAAGTACCCACAAAACCAACGTAAATATACGTAAAGACGTGCGTTTGTAAAAAAAAAAAAAAAAAAAACAGCTTGTGGTTGTGAACAAGCACATATTCCTGGACCACCTGTTTTATTGGTTAGTTTGACACTTCAAAGTTACCAAAGAAATCATATAATAAATAGAGAAATATTGGTACGTGAAATACAGTGGACACGATTTTTTTTAAAGTAAACGGATATATTGGTCGATTTTTTTACTACTTTATATGATTTTCATTATTGTATGAAGGTTAATTTCATCATTTATTAATATTTCGTTATCAGGAGATTGCGGTCCTTCAACACTGACCTCTGACACTGGAAATTTTACATCACCAAGATATCCTTTTGATTACTATGAAGACGCAGATTGCGTTTGGACTATAGAAGTAGCTTCTGGTAAACGAATTGTCCTGTGGTTTCTCTTTGCTGAACTCTCTGACGGAGACTATATATATTTCGGTGACGGCTTGCATATCGAGAACGGAACATTTTTGGTAAGTATGGGTATAAAATACGCTTTCTACTCTAAGGTTAAAGGACAAACATCCTGTATAATTTGCTTTTGAATCATATTTACTGCTAACAATACAGTACTAGGTAAGCCAATGGATAAGAGCTTTGTGTTGTTATTTATAGTCCTGATTAATTTGTCCTAATATTATTTATTACTACACATTTTTTTAAATAACAACACATTTTATAATAACACTGATGCTGAAATTCCATTAAAATTAAGAACAAAATAAGAACAAATTAAGGCTGAGGTAAAAATGTCAAATGAGATTTTTATTTAAGAAAAATAGAACCCCACCCTCATCCCCAAAAAATGTGTACTTTATGTGCAGTAGGTATGACTATGTAGGCTAATACCTTCTATAATACAGTACAGTAATATACTGCTGTACATTGCTATTCTATAATCGTTTATACAACCTGGTCATATATGCATATATATACATATTCTGTGATATGTTGTATAGAAAATTATTAGTGATTTTGTATTATTTGTAAATAAATATTTGTTTAAAGACTAATACAGTAGCCTGAAGTATAAATACACTTGTTGTATTCCAAGGATGTTTGTAAACAAATAACTGAATTCGGCTTTTATTTTTTCAGATGCTAAATGCTTCATCGATTGAGTCGGATCCTGGGTACTCAAGCCAAATTCGCAGTGATTCCAATAAGGTGTGGATACGCTTTACCTCAGATTCGACCAGTAACGGAGGGGGATTTGTAATCAGTTATACTACAGGTGAGCTGCCTGCAATAGCTTTTATTACATGAACAAGTTTTATACCAATTCAAATAGACAACTATTAAGTACAGACTCATGCAAATATGACGTATAAGCTACCTACGTTGAGCTCAAAAATCTTTTGACAAAATTCCAATATTTGAATTCATTTAATGAGCTGTAGAACCTATGCACTGCCGGCGATTGAGATTGTATGTCACAAATTATCAATTATAAATTATAAATATCAATTTTTTATTGAAGGCTAGGTCTATTAGGCCTGGTTAATATCGTTTTTATATTCTTTGCAAGATCCTAAATTGCTTGGTATCATAATAAACTTGTTGTAGAGGGTCTACGAATCATCAGCAAAAATGTATTTTGTTTCAGACTGCGTATCGTAAGTTACTAGCTTATTTGATTTGAGCTATTCAATACCTTTAGCCAGGCGATATATCTTAAATGTGAACATCTAGATTTTATGAAATGTTTGATAGCGAAGCCTGGGCACATTCTCTTAATGTGTCTTTGGTGTTTAAGTGGCACTTTCCTTATAACGTGTAAAAATGTGTATCGGTGACTTATCACAAATTTAGTTAAAGACACAGCACATAAAGCAGGCAATATTATCAACGTAAGAAAATGTGGCACAAAAGTCAATGAGGCCCAGTCTTCGATTTTTTAAAATACTATGGGCCTACTAATATAATTTCTTATTAAAAATATTGATAAATTTTCACTTTATTCTGACCCCTTTAATTAGCAATTAATTATCTTGGAGTTAGCTTAATCTTCTTTCTCATTTCTTTTTTCTTTGTTTTTCTCCAGAGATCGACTGTCCTCAAGATTACATCGTTGGACCAAACGACACTTGTTATTACTTTGGAACTGAATTAGGAGGCTATATTTGGAGTTTTTCACGGACAACTTGCCAATCGGTTACCGATGGAGATTTAGTTATTATTGATGACGAGGAGGAGTTGGCGTTCCTGTTAGAAGAAAGTCAGAAGAGAGTTTCTAACGCAAGTTGGTGGATAGGTAAGAATTACGAGTGCTAGCTCGTAATTCGTGATTTTTTATTTTAAAATATTTATTTAGCTTAACACACCTCACCACTGTTTGTCGTTTTATGATTATATTTTTTGGGTAGTGTTATAAATACGCTTAGTCCCGGCTACCCTATTCTCTGCCTTACAAATTTATATGAATCCCGTTTTCTGACTTTTTCTTCCTCCTCTAAATGCCAGGTTTTCTTGAGTTAATTAAAGCCATTTAATTTTGTTTGCTCTCATTACTTTAAGCTACTGTCTTTAAGGAATCAGTCAGTAGGTTATAGCAGATTAGCCGGATAGTTAGATACATTGCTGAAACTTGCCGTTCAATTTTTCTTACCAATGTGTAAACACAATAGGATATTACGATGTATCTGTTGAGGGTACTTGGCAGTGGGTCGATTGCAAGAACTCGTCCCAATTTCAACAAGATCTATGGGCTCCAGGAGAACCAGATAATCCACTAGACGACTGTGGTGCCCTAAGTTTTGACGGAACTGTATTTGAGTTCCAATGTGATATCCGCCTTAATTACATTTGCGAAGTAACAGCACGTGGTAAGAAATGTTTATCATCATATTGATTAGAATAGTAGCCCAATGATGCCGGTAATCATAACGATAACGATTCTGAGAACTACAAAGAAAACGATTATTATAATGATGATATAAATATTGACAGATAGTTTCTCCCATTGAAGATTTATTACCGTAATCCTAACAGAATGTATGAGCAAAATGTAATTTGCTCACAGAAACTTAAAGGTACAAGCAAAATATGTCAACCATTATTTATCCCAACAGAATGTGTTATGAAAAAAATAAATCTGCTGCCATTACTTTATTAAGGGTACAAGCACAATGTCAAAAATATAGGAATTGTTCAAACAATCTTAATGAGTTTTTATGACACAAGTAAGATAATTTTTGTTCTGTAAGTAAACCAATTCAGTACGTACTGTATGTGAAATCTGGTAATCCAGTCAATGTCTGATAAATTCGTTAGACTCAATTAAATTGGTTTACGTACAATGATTGTTTCATACTATGAGAAAAATATTGACATTCGCTAACTAGTGACATCATTTTATAGTTCTATTTTTAATTTAAAAGCTAATATAGGGCTAAACCTATGTAAATATACAGAGTAAGTTCAATTTGGTTATCTCTAGTTCATATTAGATTTAAGTCATCTATAATCTATTACAAACCGGCTATTAAAAAACTTGTTGAAGGGCAATATTAATCACGCAATGTACCTTTTAAGACTTTTCACAGGAGAACACCAATGCTAAGAATGTGTCTGCTTCGGTTATCTCATCGAGTCGATTAGAGGTCTCGTGGATTCCGTCAGAATACAACTGTGATGTTTTAGGATATCGGGTGTATTATTACCCAGAATTCAATATTTCAGGTAACCAGTCACAAATGTTTGGTGTGCATGTGTTTGCTAATTTGAAAACTATTTTTACTTTTGTGTCATTTTTAAAAATAATTTATACTGCACAAATGTTTAACTATTCTATGCAAATATTTATATGCATGTTTCATTTTCTGTTTTTACTTTAAAGTTTCGAATTACAGCAGTTAGACCTGTTATAGATAAGCATCAACTGTAATAATTTAATAATTATTTGCATGTGATTCTTCATCTTCGTAGATATCTGTTTTCTTCTTTTCTTCCACTACTATTTAGATTCACTATCTAGTGGTTTCCAATTCTTAATCACATTGCCCAGCACTTTCAACAACCAGGATGCTATTTACCTTCTTGCACATAATCCTTCTAATCGAACTGTTATTTTCACTGTATCGCTTCCTAAAAAGTCGTACAATAAAACAATTATCTCTAGTGCTACTAATATAGAAGTAGAACTTCCACAATCTGCTTTATCAACTGATTCAGATTTTCAAAATGGCACAGTTTTTGTAAACTCCAGTATTCTTATAACTGTGCAAATTGTTATCTATCAGGCGAAATCCTCAGATGCATTTACAGCGCTTCCACTTCATGCTCTCGGTAAAGAATATCTGATAGCGACGTATGATCCAGGCGAATGGCTATTTTCTGATGGCATCGTTTTGCAATCAGAGGTGACAGTAACGGCGATTGATGATAATACGCGCGTAGTGTTTGAACTAACTACACCTGTGATTTTTCAGAATAAGATGGTATCTGGAAAACAATTTGAAGTTCATCTTAAAAAATGGGAATCTGTTCAACTACAAAGCGATGGAGATCTTACAGCATCTCGCGTGTTAGCTAGCAGCAACGTCGCTGTTCTTTCCGGGACAAGTTGTGCCTTCGTACCGAATGGAACACTAGCTTGTGATTATCTGGTTGAGCAAATGCCTCCAACAAGCTCACTAGGAAAACACTTTATCGTGGCACCGTTTCTTCGACGTCATTCTGGATATATATTGAGAATAATACCCAATGCTCATGATACACATGTGAATGTTTCTGGAGTGATATATTCCATATCAATAGGCACATTTAAGGATTTTGATATGAGTTCTGAAGACTTCTTATTTGTACGCTCCAACAGACCAATTCTAGTTGTCCAATATATGAAAGGTTATGAGTCTGATAATACTGGTGACCCGGGAATGGTGCTTGTTCAGCCAACAGAACAGTACGCTGATTTTGCGCAAATAACATCACCTATGAAAGTTAATATGGATCATTTTGTGACTATTGCATCAAAGTGTGAATCAATTAATTATATTGAATTTGATGGTGAACTTCTAGATTCTACATGGGTTGTGACGCAGATTTTGCTAAGCAATAATTACTGTGTGGCGAGAAACTCCATTATACCTGGATACCATCTAGTAAGTACCGGAGACATAATGGGCACAACTTTTTATGTCCAAGTGTATGGATTAAGCCCTGGCGTATCGTATGTCTTCTCAGCAGGATTCACTCTCAATCAACTAACTTGTAAAGGAGGATTATTCCTGGAAAATGGTTGTCCACCTGCCGACGGAAAAACTCCAGAAGGTTTGTCTCGTGTGCCGCGATCGTGATGTAAGGTTTCTCGCTAGAAACACATTCGTTTGCTTATCAATGCATCTGAAAGTTACTGTAGCCCATTGTCAATTACGGCACTTTCATTATTTTACCTCAGTTGCTTGACTCATTAGTTATTTCATTAACATAGCTCATTTGCATATGTACATATCATTGTTGTAAAACATTGTCGTATCAAAATTAAAGCATCAAACTTAAATGATGTCGCTCAGCGGTAAGAATGAAGACATATATATATATATATATATATATATATACACTATATTTATAAGAACTTATTATTATGATAATTGTTTCGGACATTAATGACTTCGTACGTGTCGATTCAAGTCCACTGTTTTATTATTTTTAGATGAGCAGGCAGTTAATGTCTACGGGGGTGACGCCACTGACGTCATATTGACTAGCCTTCAAGATGACACAGTTTATATTGTTAGTGTTTCAGCATTGGCTATTCAAGAGGAGCTGGGTCGGGTTGGAGACATTGTAGTAAAAACTTCAAAAGGTGAACACATTGCTACCATAATATCTTCTAGTGCTTTTACACTAATTTCGTTTATTTAATTTGGGATATACGGTAATCATTTTATCTGCAAAAAAATATGTAATTACTACAAAATAATGTAGTTGAAACAGCATAAATAACAAATAATTGACTCTTTCTAATTACTTTTCAGATTTCTCATATTTTGCGTAAAATGGGTAATTTTTTAAGAAAATTGGTCCAGATCATGATATTTTTGCGTACAATGGACAACTTTTAAGAAAATGGATCCACATTATTTGAATATACGCGTAAAGTGGGTCTACCTGATATTGTCCCACACCGTTTAAAAATCCTGGCTACGGCATTGACTGTATATGATGTTTAGTTTACCTTTAGGGACCCCTTTCCCTTAAAACGAAACAACACAATAATGAGCTGAACAGCCATTGGCCTTAAAAATTTGTTTTGCTATGTTGTCAAACAAACAACCGTCGAAATGGTACTCTGAAATGATGTAAAAAGTCCATTGTTGCAAATGTCTAATTTTATTTGCACCACTTGCTTGACTTGTTGAAGTCTGACACAGCACACAATATCTGTCAAAGTTTGATCATGTTCTATTTTCTCTATGGTTTAATAGACCAACGATAACTCTGTTACTGCCTATGTTAAGCATAGGCGTAGAT